TCTGTAATCTGTAATGGAATACATTTTAAAAGTAACCTTCCCAACACTGTCTGTGACCAAGATAACAGACAAAGACCAACTCACCGCTTTAATGAGACGTCTTCATCATAAATATATTTTTACTCATTCTTTTCTGGTCTTTTACTTTCCTGTGATCAGATGTTATGTTCTCTGTATTAGGAACAAAATAAAAGTGGGTTTTTGAATCGCCTTCATCAGCCGTGAGAAGACAGAGGTGTGTGGTCTAAACCACAACTTCTCTACAGCTGAGTGCTGTCTGTGGGAGGAACAGAAGCTGTGGGTCTCCAGAGATGTTTTAAAGATAACAGCACACAGGATGTTTCTGCTGTGGACGTATGTTTGCGTGTGTGGTGGGTGAGACTCAGATGTAGTGACGGTAATGAAACAGTGTGCAAACATGAAGCTCGTGCTAAGAAGTCTGCTCCTCACCTCGTTCTGCACCATCTCATCTTGGAGTGAGTAGAAACACAGCTTAATACTGTTTTCATGTCGCTCTCAATTTGATCTGTTATTGTGTATTTTTCACATGTTTGTACAGGATATTGTATTTGTGTTAAATGTTATATACGTATGTGGTACGTGTGTGGTCACTTTTGTTGCCATGATGTCAGGTCTCTCTTGGAAATTAGATAATTAAAGGACTAATAAAAATGTATTACACGTATGTTCTTTCTATGGTGACAAGTAATGCAGGATGTTATTGATAAGTGATAAATTAATGTATGTAGGAAGTCTGTAACTCTCCCCTCATTATGTCGGTGCTCAGAGCACTAAGCAGCAGGACAACAACTGCATTTAAAAAAACGTTTAAAAGAAAACCTGAAAATATGATCATCTTTATTTATGATGTTTGTTTTTTATTTATGACAAAACACTCACAGTAATGCATTTAAATGCTGGTCTCTTGTACTGACTCACAGTTTTGTGTCTCTTGCAGCTGTTGTGTATGCTGTTGGCATATCTGTTGTGACCCAGAGTCCAGATGTTTCTGTCATGGAGGGTGAGACAGTAAGCATCACCTGCTGCTGGACAAGACCGTTTGAAAGATTCAGAGTGAACTGGCTGAAAAATCAAACAGTCTTTAGAAGCGAGACCTACGCAAATCAATCTCCAGAGTCTCTGAAACTGGAGGCAAAGACCTGCTCATCTTTGAACATTTCAAACATCAGAACAGAGGATTCAGGAACATACATCTGTAAAGTGACTGTGGAGCTTCCATCTTTAGCTGAGGCTAAAGGAAATGGGACCTTCATCACAGTCAGAGAGAAGACCAATGACACTGACTCCAGTAAGTGAACAGGTTCAGTTTGGTGACCAACGCGCCTCCAAAATATGTGAACATGTCGTCTTTTACAGATTAAACGCTGTCACACATTTGTTGTAGTGAAACTACGGTGATGATAAAGAACGAATGAACAGCTGAGCTTTGTTTTGTGTGAATTTCAGCTCCTTCATCATCGACGGTCATCTTCGTCCTGAGGAGTCTGCCCTTCATTCTTCTTCTTCTGATCTTCTGCTGCTTTAGAAAGTGGACCACATCACAGCGTCACAGGTGCACTACAACACGTCTGAACCCGACTCTGTTACACTTCATGTGTTTTGTGCTTCTTGTAGTTTGTTGGTGTTTGTTGGGGCGTCGCTTTGATCCAGACTGAAGAACCAACGATGGGATTTTATATTCCTGCTCCTCAGAGGATAACCCGTCCCTGAGGTTACGACTACGACTTTTACTACTGAAAACTACGGATTATGTTCCAATGAGATCGTCTGAAACGTTTCTTCATAGAGAAATGTTTGACTAAATGTCTGAAAGGTCATCAAACTTTAATTTATTCATGTTTAAAACTAATTACTAAAGACAAGACAGATGTTACCAAGGTAACAGGCTAGCTTAAGGTGGCTAACAGTCATATGTTGTATCACTGTAGGGTCTGTACCTTACAATACAGACAGCACCGTGTCCATCTTTATACGCTCTATGGTGAAAAATTAATTTGGTTTAAAATCATTAACGCTAATGTAAAAAAACAAACAGAAAATAGCTGCACTGTGTCACGAGTGATGTGCAGACTCAGGGATGTGTAGAGTGATGCAGACAACAGCAGGAAAACAGAAAACGAGTGATTTATTTAGATGGATGCAAAAGTGCAAAAACACAAAATACTGAAGAAAAAACACTGAAACACTGAAACACAAGGACAGCTGCACCAATGCTCTGACGAGGGACAGAGAAAAACAGCTGAACTGATGAAGAGACAAAGGAAGTAACATTTAAGACACTTCATAAGGAGCACAAGCTCACCAAAGTAAAACAGGAAGCAGCAGGACACAAAGAGTAAAACCCGACACACATCACAGAGTAAACAGTCACGACTGGACTGTGGAAAGGAGGAAACACAGGAGAGAGTCAGAGGAAACAGGATGGATGAACTAATATGACTCTATAGAAGGAAGTGACGCACGTACGTGTTTGTTCTGCATCAGCTGTGGTGACGTTATTTCAACAGAACATGTTGTCACAGCATCATCAGTCATAATCTTGTAAATCACTGTGAACATGCAAAGTGTAACTCGTGTTTCATGTTTCAGCTGCTGGAAGTGAAGCATGTCTGCACAGAGAGGAGACCAAGAAGAAGAAGAAGAAGAAGAAGAAGAAGAAGAAGTGAGAGAGGAAAAGTGGAAAACTTTACAAACTTGTTCAGCGTTTTTAGTTTTAAATTTATCTGATGATTCCAAAAACTCTGCTGAATAAAAATGACTGATTGACTTTTGACTGATTGTCTCATTTAATGAATAAATTAATACTCCTCTGGGTTACCATAGTAACATGACCAGCACAGATGCTTCGGCATGCAGACTGGAGCAGCAGGGATCAAACCAGCGACCTTTCTGTTGTCAGGTGACCTGCTCCACCTCCTGAGCCCCACTTCTCATGACCAATGACGCACTTTTCCCTCTCTGTTATTCTCACTGACACTTGAGGATTCATCATGTTTGATCAGAGGTTTTCTTATCACGTCTCTGTTCTGTGTTATGCACAGACACACAACACCAACACAATGTTGTGGGTCTGTGTAAACAGTGTTTCTGTGATGACTGCAGCTCACTGTCCTGATCGTTCCCTCTGTTTCTGTCCTCCCTGTTAAACATGTTAGCATGACCTTTGCTCCAGTTCATCACCGGGTCCCATCATGCTCTGCAGCTCTGTGGGTTAAACTGAAAACACTTTGTAGGTGTTGTTTCCTGAGCTGCTGCTCATTCTGCAGCCACAGGATGTGCCAAGGCTCAGCGAGGGGCAGCCATGTGACCAGTTTGGGTGAGAGAAAGAAGACATCAAAGACGTGGAAGAGCCAGATATGAATAATAACTAATAATTAAACACGAAGAGGTGTATTAACACATAGTGAGTGAAGAAGAAACACCCAGTGTATCATGGGAGTCCCCCAGCAGCCTACACCTACTGGCTGGTTGTTACATGTACAAGATTCAAACTTGTAATTTGAACTAAATAATTTCATGTTTCTATGGTGAACGTAATTAAATCATGTAGCATCTGCATGAAATTCAGCAACTTAATTTGTTCTTGTTGAGATGACAGGATACAATCTAGTCAGAGTGGTTCGTTGCCTGGACTCACGAAGTTCACAAGATCACATTAGATGTCAAAGTGCAGGAAAATCTCTGGAGTTTTAAGACGCAGACAACCACACCATGTGTTTGCTGTTTATTGTGGTTTAACCTGTCCAGGACAAAAACGTACAGAAAATGCTGCATCCAGCCTTGAAATCACAGCTTTCCTAGTTTTAAGCCTGCAGTGGCAGCTTGGTGGTGTGATGGTTCGTGCTGGTGCCTCACAGCAAGAAGGGCCTGGGTTCAAATCCACAGTCTGGCTGGTCTGCAGGGTGTAATTAGAGTTCGGTTCATTTGTCTCTGTGAAATCATCAGTTCATTCAGCAAGACTAGCAGTAATCGCCTTGATTAACAAAGTCGTTGTTCAAACAACAGGATTTCATTGTGTTCTGCTGAAGTTTTTAATTTGTGTTGAATGAATTCAAACTTTCACTCTACATACTTAAATAAATCACTTCAACTATGTTGATTCAAGGTAATCTGATTACATCAAACCACGAAATGCCAAATGTGTTGGTTTGACATGGTCAAAAATCGATTATTGTACTTGGTAAAATCACGTGGAAAAAGGTGCCGTGATTAAACTGTGTTCATCCAACAACAGATTTTTTTGAGTGTGACTAAGGGAGGATTCAGGGTCACCTGGTCCAGCCCTAACTATATGCTTTAGCAAAAAGGAAAGTTTGAAGCCTAATCTTAAAAGTAGAGATAGTGTCTG